ACCGGCTGAGCGTCGACCAGGTGCCGTGCAACCTCCGAGCGGGCGATGGGCGCACCTACGACGACACGGGCGCCAAGCGCGTCTGGCTGGCGGGGGCGAAGGCTGACGACGGCAAGCGCTTCTGCACGCTGCAGATCGTCGCGCGCGCGAGCAACGGCGACGCCTCGATGCCGCGGCACGGGCAGCCCAAGCTGTGCGTGATCTTTCGCGGCCAGGGCAAGCAGATCTCGCAGAATGAGCGAGATGCGCGCCACTCCGACGTGCAGGTGCGCTTCCAGCCGAAGGCGTGGGCTGACGACCAGCTCTGCGAGGACTTCGCGGACGTGGAGATGCGCGAGGCGACGGCGGCCGCACGCGCCGCGGGCGAGCGGAGCGTCGCCATCTTCGACAACCTCTCCGGCCAGACGACGCCCGAGCACCTGCGCAACCTGCAGCGCCGCGCCCACTGCGACCGCCACCTGCTGCCGACTGGCTCGACGGGCGAGCTGATGCTCATCGACGGCGGCATCGGCGTCCGCCTCAAGAACCTGATGGGCGACGAGATGGACACGTGGCTCGAGCAGCCGGGCCACCTCGAGCGCTGGACCAAGGGCCCCAAGGAGGGTGGCCTCAAGGCGTGGCAGAAGCGTTCGCTCATCACGCAGATCGCGGGCCGAGCGTGGGAGACGCTCTGCGCCACGTATGACTTCGAGAAGTCGGCGCGCAGCCTCGGCCTGCTCATGACTGTCGACGGCTCCGGCGACGAGCACATCTGCGTGCAGGGGGTGACGGACTACACCTTCAAGGACGAGGACGGCGGATCGGACGGCGGGGAGAGCGAGGCGGACGAGGACGAGGCGGAGCTCGCCGATGTCGACGAGGCGGCGGGCGAGGAGGAGGGCGAGGAGGAGGGCGAGGAGGAGGCGGAGGACGGCATGGAGGACTCAGAGGACGAGGACGAGGACGACACCGCCGTGCGCATGCAGGCATGCGGCGAGGCTCCGGCAATGCCCCCGAAGGGCTACGTCTATGCGGCGACGTGCCCGCCGCTGGCGAACGACGACGAGCAGCGCGCGCTGTGCCGGCGCAAGATCCTCGCCGCGCACCTCCTCGACGGCGCCACCGGCTGGTACGTTGGCACCGTGCAGCACTTCGGCGTGGGCTCCTCGTGGCGTCAGCCTGACGCGACGCACATCGTCATGTACTCCCAGAAAGAGACGGGCACCAAGCACCTCGCGGGCCGTGTCGCGTGCAAGCTAGCCGCCGACAACTATGGCGCGAGCGAGTGGTGGCTCCTGCTGGAGCCGGCGCCAGAGAGCTGAGCATGAGGGACTTGACGTGTTGCGTCACTGTTCACGCAAAGACACAACCCCGGGCCCAAGACTCACACTGTTCACACTATAGAGAGGGTGAAAATTGCGTTTCACCATGACTGTAGACTGAGAAGAAAGTGAAAGAACGACCTCTCTCTAAAAAGTCGTATGATTTCTAAAATTTTCTTCGCGCCTGCGGCGCGGCAGATCAGAGAAATCGGGCCGGCCTCGTGCCAGCAGCCGATTTCTATTTCGGCCAGGGAAATCAGCCAAATTTCCAGCAGCCAATTTCTAAACACCGATTTCTAAGGCAAGAGCACGCACTGTAACGAAGCTGTGAAGGCGGGAATCGAGCGCCCCTCCCAGGTGTCCCGCCATTCCGAGATGTATATGTCGCTCGTTGACTCCGCACCGATCATCTCTCCCATCGCCAAGGGCACGAAGCGCGCCGCGCCGCCACCAACGAACGGAACGGTCCGCGTGACTCGCAGCAAGGCGGCCCAGTGCGAGACCGCCGAGGTCCCAGCGCTCGTCAAGATCTTTGACGAGGCCGAGGCGTTGCCCGACCCCGACGCCACCGACGCCGACTATGAGCCCGTCGCGCCGGCGGAGGAGGAGCCGGAGGAGGAGACCAACGAGCAGTGCGACGCCGGCGACGTCGTGGACGACGAGCGCCCTCCCTTCGCGGACGCGGACCCCAAGCCTGCCGACCCAGCGCTCGTGGCCGAGATGGCGGCTGCTGGGGCTGCGACCGAGGAGTATCGTGGCGAGCAGGATGATGACTACCGGCCCGCAAACGACGACGAGGAGGGCGAGCCCGCGGAGGAGTACGAGGAGGGTGATGTCGAGGAGGAGCAGGAGGAGGGTGCGCAGTGAGACGCCCGCGTGGTGCAGCCTGCCTGCTGCCAGCCGCGCCTGCGGCGTCGCCCCGGCGATCCGGCGTACCACCTTTGTACATCGTATGTCTGCATGTGGGTAGTTGCGGGAGTGTGCGGTCTCGAGGGATTTGAAGAAGCTAGAAGGTCCCGCCACGCTCACAGTCACACCGCCGGACAAAATGCTCTCCGCCTCTGGACACGGCTCTGCCTACGGCGAGTAGCGTAGCGGGGTGGAGAGATCTCTGGGGAGAAGCAGAAGGGTGCGGCACTACAGACTACAGTGCTCAGTGGGCCTTGACCTTGAGACTCTCTGGCCACGGTGGTGCTGGTGGGGTGGTGCTGCGGGGGACACAGCGTGCGCAGGTGGTTGCGGCCACGAGCTCGCAGCTGGGTGCGCCCGGATGCCAACCGGAAGTGTGAGTGCCTCCACCGTCCACTGCCGCCTACGCGCTAGCCGCTACGGACGCCGTGCCCTTGTAGCCGCGCTCACTGGGCTCACTGCTCCAGCGGGCTGCTGCAGCCTGCTCCCCGGTGCCCGGAGGCTGTTATCGCCGGCGCGGGGTAGTGGGCTAGTTCTTAGGATTCCTATTGAGTGAGTGCCTCCGCCACATTCCCTTCCCAACTGCTTCCCAATTTATCCCTCTGCGCTCTGGTCTGGACGATTTTTTCACGGTATCCACGGCGAGATATGGCGGGATACCGCGGGATACCGCGGGATACCGCGGGATACCGCGGGATACTGGGAGAGACCGGGAGAGACCGGGAGATACGAGATCCACCACACCGGATACGGGAGAGAGAGAGTTTTGTTGTTTGATTACGGGTAGATACCTGAGGGAGGGTGTAGAGGATGTAGAGTGTAGAGCGCTGTAGAGCTGTAGAGATGTAGAGCGCTGTAGAGCTGTAGAGCTCTACATCCGCCGCGTGACGAGGCGGGTGCGTTGTAGAGCGATGTAGAGCGCGATTTTGCTGTAGAGTTTGTTGTAGAGGCTCTACAGCCAAACCGCCGGGAAGGCAGTGACCGTCAAAGAGGTCGAGTCGCACTAATGGGGTGTCTCCGAGCTTACTGGAGCTCTGATGGACGGCCCTGACTATCCCTGACACACAGAGAGTCACTCTGACGGCACACCCAGCCTGCCATGCGTCGCCGGTGCCGCATTCATCGCTGTGCTTCTTTAGCAGGCGGTGGACTGTCGGCTGCGAGGGCGGTCGCATTTGCGCGAGGCGAGGCGAGCATTCAGACGCGTTGCATGCGCCATGACTTGCGCCAGCGCGTGCGGGAGCTCCTGGCTGAGCGTTGAGTCCAGGCGAGGAGTTGCGCTGGCCACTATCGCTACGCCGAGCCGAGCTGACGCGCCGAGGCGCCGGCCAGTCGCAGCCGTGAGGCATGCCACAGCAGCAGACTCTGGCACCTGCCACCCATTGGGCGGGCAGACAGAAGGCCAGGGCAGCACTGGCAAGTGCAACGCGCCTCATGTCGAAGAGCGACCGTGCCTCGTTCGCCGCTTATGATGTAGAGTTTGTTGTTAGTATGATAGTAGAGTTTTCACGCTGTAGAGCGCCTCTACATCGCTCTACAACGCACCCGCCTCGTCACGCGGCGGATGTAGAGCTCTACAGCTCTACTGCTCTACAGCGCTCTACATCTCTACATACAGCTCTACTCGAGTACAGCGCTCTACACTCTACATACGCCTCCCCCCCTCCCTCAGGTAGATACGGGGAGATACGGGGAGAGAGAGGGGAGTACGCGGAGATAGAGGGAGATACGCGGAGATAGCGCAAAACAATCGTCAAGACTAGGGCTCAATTTAATAAATAAGTTGGCTCCGTTGTTGCCGGGAGATGCGGGTGGCAGATTCCTGGCGGGAGGGTGGGGTGGGTTTCCCCGGTTGGCGGGAGCCTCGCGCTGTTCCGCCGCGCCACGGTTGCTGTAGTCCTCACTGGCTGCTCCGGGTTCGCCCGGATGGACATTCGCGGCTTCTTTGCGAAGCCCAAGGGCGGGTCGGACGTGGGCAAGCGCAAGGCGGAGTCCGCCGCGCCGGATGAGCCCAGCGCTGCGCCACCAAAGAAGCCGGCGGCGGGGCCGACGACGCCCGCCTCGTCGACCATCTCGCCCAAGGAGGCAGCCAAGGTAAACATATCGCCGGCCGACTTCTTCGGCCTGGGCGGCGGCGGCGGTAGGTCAGCCGCCGCCACCTCCAAGCTCGCCAAAACCTCCGTCGATGCCTCCAAGCCAGCACCCGTCGATCCCGCACCCGCCTCCGGCGAGGGAAAGAAGCGGAAGCATCCGGAGGAGGCGCCGGCTGGTTCATCATCCGCGGCGGCGCAGTCCTCCCCGGCGGCAAACAAGTCGCCCAAGGGCGAGCCCGCATCGCACGGCGCGTCCGACGCGTCCAACGCGCCGTCGGGCTCCGCCAAGACCAAACCGCCGCGGAAGGACAAGCCGCAGGACAAGCCGCCGCAGAAGCCAAAGGCGACGGCGCACGCGTCTCCGGCGGCGGCGGCGTCCCCCGCGGTGGCGGCGTCCCCGGCGGCGGCGTCCCCGGCGGCGGCTTCGTCGGCTCCGGCGCTGTCGGGTGCGGTGGCGGCGATGGCGGCGGAGCCTGCTGCGCCGCCGCCCAAGAAGTGGTTCCCTGGCCAAAAGGACGACGCGCCTCCAAACAAGGGCAACAAGACGGTGCCGGTGGGCGCGCCAGACTGCCTGAGCGGCAAGACCTTCGTGGTGACAGGGACGCAGGACTCGCTCGAGCGCGAGGAGGTTGAGGCGCTGATCAAGCGGTACGGCGGCCGGGTGACCGGGTCCGTGAGCGGCAAGACCTCCTACCTGATGCGAGGCATCGACTGCAGCACCGGCTCGCCGATCGAGTCGAGCAAGGTCAACAAGGCGATCGGCCTCAAGACGAAGATCATCGACGAGGACGGCCTCTTCGACATGCTCCGCAAGACCGCGCCGCAGCCCGAGCCGGAGCCGCAGCCGCAGCCCGCGCCGGAGCCAAAGCCGCGTCAGCCGCCCGCCGCGCCGGCGAGCGGCGGGGCGAGCGGCGCGGCGGGCGGCGCGGCGGACGCGCGCGCGCCGGCAGTGGAGCGCGCGCCGGCGCTCTGGGCGGAGAAGTACCGCCCGCAGCGCGTGGAGGACTTGGTCGGCAACAACGACCACGTCAAGCGGCTGGTGCAGTGGGCCTCGACTTGGGAGGCGAACGCGAGGGGCGGCAAGGAGTTCCGGAAGGCGGTGCTCCTGTCGGGCCCGCCCGGCGTCGGCAAGACCTCCGCGGCGCGCGTGGTGCTCGCCGCCCTTGGCTACGACGTCATCGAGCTCAACGCCTCCGACACGCGCTCGAAGAACGCGCTGCAGCAGACGGCCGCAGACATGCTCACAAACACGTCCATCGCCGCCTTCGCCACGGGCGGCGGCGGCGGCGGCGGCCCGGCCGCGTCGTCAAAGCTCGCGCTCATCATGGACGAGGTGGACGGCATGTCGTCGGGCGACCGCGGCGGCATGCAGCAGCTCGTGGCGCTCATCAAGACCTCCAAGCTGCCGGTGATCTGCTGCTGCAACGACCGCTCGTCCCAAAAGGTCAAGTCGCTCGCCAACCACTGCCTCGACCTGCGCTTCCGCAAGCCCTCCTCCCGCGAGGTCGCGACTGCCTTCCTCAAGATCGCGACCAGCGAGGGCTACCGCACCGACCTGCCCTCCGTCGAGAAGGTTGCCGTCGCCTGCAACGGCGACCTGCGCGGCATGCTCAACCTGCTGCAGCTCTGGCGGCCGAGCGGCGAGACGCTCAACGGCGACGCGGTGGCCAAGGGCGCGACCAACGACATCTCGGCGGGCGCCTTCGAGGTGTGGGACCGCTTCTTCAAGCAGGCCACCCGCGGCTCGCCCGCGTACAAGCCGCTCGACGGCCGGCTGCGCGACTACTTTGTCGACAGCTCGATGACGCCGCTGCTCGTGCAGGAGATGTACCCCTCCTCGCCAGGGCTCTCGGTGGGGAACGCGCCGCAGGCGCAGCTCGCCGCGCTCAACCGCATGGCCAGCGCGGCCGAGTCCATCGCGGAGAGCGACGTCGTCGGCAGCAGGATCGTGCGCGAGCAGCAGTGGACGCTCTCGCCGCTGCAGGGCGTCCTCGCTTGCGCGCGGCCTGGCTTCTTCGCGGCGGGCGGCATCACGTCGCAGGCCCGGTTCCCCGCCTTCCTCGGCCGCTTCTCGACCGCGAACAAGCGGCAGCGCTTGCTGCGCGAGTGCGCGTCGCACATGCAGGCGCAGGCCTCCGCCTCCAAGGCGGAGGTGCGCTGCTCGTACGTGCCGGCGCTGCGGTCGGCGCTCGTCCGCCCGCTGAAGACGAGCGGCTCGGACGGGATCGAGGCGACGCTCGCGCTGCTCGACGAGTACTCGCTCACCAAGGACGACTACGACGCGCTCGTCGAACTCCAGCTCGCGCTCGGCGACAAGAAGGAGGGGGAGGACTTGCCTTCCGCAGTCAAGTCGGCGCTCACGCGCGCCTACAACAAGTCGCACCGGACCGAGCCGCGCAAGCTGGGCAAGGCGTCCCGCGCTGCCGAGCCGAGCCGCTTCGACGAGGACGGCGCGCTGGACGACGACGCCGAGGCGGAGGACGAGGACGAGGAGGCCGAGCCTGTCGCCGCCAAGCCCAAGCAGAAGGCGGCCGCGTCGAAAGGCAAGGGCAAGGCGAAGGCGCGTTGAGATTAGACTGCGGTCTGCGCCGCTCCGAGCCGCCGTACCGCCAGGGTCGGAGCACCGCGGCGCGCCGCTGGCTCTCCACTCGCATTTGATCTTCTCTCCGCCGCGCCGGCAGAGGGGCCGCGCCGCGCGCGCCGCGCATGGTGTATTGGTCGCAACTCGCATTATTTCCGCGCCCACCTAGTCGCGAGTAGTCACCGACAGACCGCGGCGATGCAGAGATGAGCGGAGTACACTCGCCGCGGTACAATTTTAATATGTACACGTCGCAATCTCACGATCCACTATAGAGTACACAAGAACACAACTTCAAGCGCCCGAAAAGACGCGTCCGTCTCCCGTTTTGGTCTCTCCGACTACCGACACACGGGAGACGCCACAAGACTGAGAAGCGAAAGACATTCCATCACGGGACTTCCGCCTCGCCAGGAGGCGGCGTGGCGTCGCGCTCGCCTGCAGCGGCAGCGCTCCCGTCGGCCAAACCCTCGCCCGCGTCGGCCGAACCCTCGCCCGCGGCTGCTGTCGGAGCGGCGGTTGCGGCGGCTGGAGCGGGCGGTGCCACCCCGTCCTCCGGCTGGTCAGCGGCAGACGCACCCGCAGCAGGCACCGCGGCCGCGCCCAAGGAGGAGGAGTTTTCACGCGAGGAGTAGCCCTTCGACACCTTGATCTGCAGAAGCGAGTCTATCGTGCTGCGGCAAACCGGGCATTTGTTCGACTGCACGCGCAGCGAGCGCGCGCAGCTGGCACACATGCACATGTGTCTGCAGGGCAGCACGGTCGTGTCCTTGGGCTCGCTCATGCAGATGACGCACTCGGCGCCGTTGTCCTCGTCGCCAGCAGCGCCGGCCGCCGACGAGGCGCCCGCCGCGCCCGCCGCCCCCGCGCGCGTCTCGCGGCTCTGGTCGATGCCAAAGATCTCCTGCAGCTCGTACGAGGAGGCCCCCACCTGTATCTTTTGCTTGAGGGGCTTGACGACCCACTCCGCCTCCCCCCCGCCGCCCCCCTCGCCGACGATCCGCGCGAGGGTCGCGAAGGTGGTCTGCGACTGCGCGGAGCCGCTCTGCGTCGAGGTTGCCTCGAGGCAGACGATGATCGGATACCGGTCCTCCCGCCCCGCGGGCGCCGCGCGCGCGGGCTGCCAGCAGAGCTCCGCCTCTGAGTAGGCGCCCGTGTCGAGCGGGTGCGAGAGGGGCACCTTGTAGCTCTGCCCGAGCCCCTTCCGCCGCTCCTCCTTTGGAGGCGTCGAGCCGGCGTCCTTTGGCGAGTAGCCGGCGCCGGCACCGGCACCGTCCGCCTTGGCCGGCTCGGTCGCCAAGTAGTAGACGCCGATCTGGCAGTCGGCCGACGCATCAAACTTGAACTCGAGCAGCAGCTTGGACGGGTCGTCCGGGTGCGGCGTCGCGCAGAGGCTCGGCTTCTTGAGGTTGACCTGCGCATGGGCAAGCGCAGGCTCGGGCGCGCGCGGCACGCGAAAGCAGAGCGGTGGCGGCGCGGGCGCGCCTCGTTGCGGATGGTGACGGTCTTCTGAACCGTGGGCCGCGGCGCCACCGCGCGCTGGGGGTTGTAGCCGTACCCGCCGCTCTGCTCAGGCCGCATCCCCTCGAGCAGCTGCGCCTGCACCTGCGCGAGTGGCACGCCGTTCGGCCGCGCCGACGCGTTGATCGCCGCCTGGTGATTGGCACCCGGGTAGGCTGCTGCGCTCGCGCCGGCGGCCGCCTGCGGCGCGCGCAGGGCGGGAGGAGCAGTGACATTCTCACTGCGCTTCACGCGCTGATGAGCGTGGAAAAACTGCTGCGCACCGGCCTCTGCGCTGACTGCGACGCGCGCGTCTGTCGGTTCGGACGCGCTGCCGGGTGCTGCTGCTGCTGCGAAGAAGACCCGTTGCCCATGGGCTTTGTGGTTGTTGCCGGGCTCGATGAGCGCGACTGACAAGCGGGCCTGTGGTGGTTTGTGAACACGCACCCTCTCTCTTTTCTGTTCTCTTGAGCACTTGAGCACTGGATAGGGTCGATTCCGCATGGTACGGGACCCCTCGATCGTCTCGCCCTCCCTCACTGAAGTGTTCATCGGGGGGGGTCCTAACAAACACGGTACAGGATCGAGGTGCACGCTGCCGAAGCAGTGTCGTCCCCCCTCTCCCCGTCGGCGATGGCGGTGTGACCGATCGAGCTACAAGAGGAACTTGTTCAGCAGGATCCGGGCCGTTGTTCTCTCTCCCAGTAAGCTAAAAGTACGTATACAAGCTGCGGGTTGTGAAAGCTCCTATACCGCCCAGGTACCTGATCCTTCCCATCCCTCCTTTCCTGTTTTCTTTCTTCTTCTTTTTGGTCGTGATCCTTCCTCGCTTTCATTCACGGCCCAAACAAAGGGCTTGCCACCTGGCTTGTCTTGGTCTTGACCTCTTTCTTGCTTGCTTGATTGAGTCTTGACTGCCTGCCTGCCCGGTCGGTGGTTGTGCATCAATCAATTGCTTTCGGAAGATTCAAGGCGCGTGATATGCGATTGCCCTCGGGTTGGGTGTGAATGTGTTGTACACACACTCACACACACACACGGTGTGTATGAGTGAGTATGTGAGGCTCCGGCGGACTCGGGGCCGGTGCTTCGACGCAGCACAGTGTGCTTCGTGGTAGCATTAACTAGAACGGCCCCCCGAGAGCGCCTCTTCGACGCCCACGGGTCCCAGGGAAGTTCCCAGGGGGTCGGAGGGGTTGCGAGAGGGCCCCGGCTATTTTTTGTTTGAATCCCGGAGGCCGTTCGAACATGAATTGACGTTCCACGTGCCCATCCACAGCACGGACAACATGCTATAGCCCAGCAGGCCGCTCGATATACTCGGTTAGAGCCGGCGGAGCGACGGCGGCAGAGGTGCGGCCGCCGGCGACCTCACACGGTGTCGACGCCGTAGAGACGGCCCCGAGAGCCGCCACCAGGTGTGCCACGACCGTGGTCGCGAGGCTCGTGGCGATGGATGCGCCAGACCCGCTTTGCGCCGCGCCGCCCTCAACGCCCGATACTCGGTCAGAGCCGGCGGAGCGACGGCGGCGGAGTTGCGGCCGCCGGCGACCTTCCCCTCGACCACGCCGCCGACCCGTCGACAAGCACGCGCGCGGACTGCCATCGAGAAGAAGGAGAAGGAGGGCGGCGCATCCGGAGCCCGCGGGCGCGGCGTGGGCGGGCGCGGGCGCGGGCGGGCGCGCGGGAACCCCGCCAGCGCCGAGGCGACAATGCCTCTGGCGGCTCTGCAGGCGGCGCGTGGCGCGCCCCTCGCCGGTCTCCCGCACGCTCCTGAGGGCCGAGAGGGTCGAGAGGCGGGGTTGGTGACCCGGGGGCATGGGCGGTGCGGCCGCGCCGCGCGCGGGCGCGTGGCAGCCCGTGAGTGCCGAGATCGGGTCTGTGCTTCGACGTAGCATGGGCCCCCGGAGGCCCATCTACAGCAGCGGCGAAGTGAGCGTGTTTGTGGTGTTGGTGTGACGTCTGAGCTTGGATCTGTGACTAAAGCCGCTTACCACTGATGGATCCCCACCCGAATAACACACAGTGAGCGCCCCAGCACTTCATGACGCCCTCCGCGCGAAATCGCTAGTGGTGCTTTGTGGCAGCACATTGTGCTTTGTGGCAGCACGGGTGCGGTGCCCGAGACCGCCGGCTCACTCAGTCAGTCAGGTCAGAGGGCCCAGCCAGCCTGTGAGGGAGGGTGTAGAGGATGTAGAGTGTAGAGCGCTGTAGAGCTGTAGAGCTGTAGAGCGCTCTGGAGCGCTGTAGCGCTGTAGAGCTCTACATCCGGCGCGTGACGATGTGAGTCCGATGTAGAGCGATGTAGAGCGCGATTTTGCTGTAGAGTTTGTTGTAGAGGCTCTACAGCCAAACCGCTGGGAAGGCAGTGACTCAAAGAGGTCGAGCCGCGCTAATGGGGTGTCTCCGAGCTTACCGGAGCTCTGATGGACGGCCCTGACTATCCCTGACACACAGAGAGTCACTCTGACGGCACACAACACCCTATGACTGCGTCATGACCAGCCTGCCATGCGTCGCCGGTGCCGCATTCATCGCTGTGCTTCTTTAGCAGGCGGTGGACTGTCGGCTGCGAGGGCGGTCGCATTTGCGCGAGGCGAGGCGATCATTGTTGAGCGTTGCATGCGCCACGACTCGCGCCAGCGCGTGCGGGAGCTCCTGGCTGAGCGTTGAGTCCAGGCGAGTTGCGCTGGCCACTATCGCTACGCCGAGCCGAGCTGACGCGCCGAGGCGCCGGCCAGTCGCAGCCGTGAGGCATGCCACAGCAGCAGAGGCACCTGCCACCCATTGGGCGGGCAGACAGAAGGCCAGGGCAGCACTGGCAAGTGCAACGCGCCTCATGTCGGAGAGCGACCGTGCCTCGTTCGCCGCTTATGATGTAGAGTTTGTTGTGATCTGTGATCTGTGAGGGTTCGCCCGCAGGCGCATTTTGTATACCGAGGCGGTGCCCGGTGCCGAGCGCAGGCAGAGCCCACAGGTCGGACCTTAAGACAGCGTTGTAGATCCCTGGGCGAGGGTGGTGGAGAGGGCGGTCCGGCGGCGGACGGAGCACCCACCTCCTCCCGGCGTGCCGGGAGGCAGGATGTCATCCCCCGTGATCCAGTTTGTTGTAGAGATTTCACGTTGTAGAGCGCCTCCTACATCGCTCTACAACGCACGCGCCTCGTCACGCGGCGGATGTAGAGCTCTACAGCTCTACAGCTCTACAGCGCTCTCCAGCTCTACAGCTCTACAGCGCTCTACACTCTACATCCTCTACACCCTCCCTCAGTGGGCCCAGCCACTCGAGGGTCCTGTGTAAACGGGCATTGCCTGTGGTCTTCAGCGCACAAAGGGTGTGAATAGAGCTCACTTGATCCTTCTGAGCACGAAGACCGCTCAAAAACTCTTCTGAAGACTATAGTTTTTCCGGTGTTCATTAGCTGTGAATGTTTATGCGCCCGCCGCAGCCCGCCCTGTTCCTCCTGGCCACACGCACGCGCCAGGGCACACTAGTCGTTCGCACCGAGCAGAAAAAAATACTCCAACAGTCGCGCTCCCAATACGTGCATCACTTTTGTGACAGGTCTCAGACTTTGAGCGGCCATATCTCGGTAACTATTGATGGTCCACCGGAGAACTCATCGCCATTCGAACGGGGGCCAGACCTGTCACAAAAGTGATGCACATATTGGGAGCGCGACTGCCAAGCACACCAAGCATAAATCCTTATATACTGTGCCCTCCCTCAGCCGAAGCTGGGGCCGGTCCCGTAGCCGAGAGAGCCTGCGTCGATGAGTTCGACACGCTGGAGGCCTCTTCTCTTGATTGATGATTGATGACAGTGATAATTTCCGCTCCAGACCAGGTCGGCGGTGCGCGAGTCGAGGTGCGTGTGCTCTTGGTCGCAACGCCGTAGGCAATACGCGTTCGGCGCTCAAGATCACCGTGAAGACGCGCTCACACCGCGTTTCGCCGAATCATCAAGGTGCAACTTTGACCGGACGGCCGAACGAAGAGGGGAAGAACGAGTGCGCCGCGAACCACGCTTTGCTTGCCCCGCAAAAAATTGTCGAAGCCAGCATGAACGAGACCAGGAACGTCTCGCCGCCGAGCACCGGCCACACGAGCGTGGAGGACGAGTACCCGCCGCCGCCAACCTGCATCTCGGACAAGTCCACCTCTGGCGAGTGGGTTCCGGAGTGGGCTCCAGAGGACGCGCCATCCTCTCCGGACAAGGTCAGCAAACCCTCGCTCTACGTCCCGCCGTCCGAAAGGATATCGAGGCTGCGCACCGACCTGCATGCCGAAGAGCGCTCTGCCACGCCGGTCTGGCTCAAGTCGGCGGCAGCCATACTCGACGAGCCCAGCGACCCGCCGCTGCAGCCACAGCAAACCACCGCATCCCCCGCACAGCCTCCGCCAGCGCCCAAGGAGCCAGGAGGGTCCCAAGCCGCCCCCGCTGGAGCGTCGGCGGGGCAGAAGGCGTCTCGATTTGCCACGCCCACCTTGGCCCGCGGCGCCGTGGTCATTGCCTTGACGGCGGCCGCCGCAGCTGCTGCCGCCGGCCGGGTCCAGTGGGGGCATACAGCACCCGGCGACCCTCAACCGCCGTCGCGGGGTGCTGAGCCGCCGCCGACAAGGCCCGGCGCCAGTCAGAAGCCGGAGGGCAACGGCCGCTCACGCTACTCGCCCAGGCAGTGCAGCGAGTGGGCTGGCCGCGGCGAGTGCGAGAGGAATGCGGGCTTCATGACGACGCACTGCGCGCCTTGGTGTGCGACGGATGTCAGCCCACGGTGCGCGGGGTGGGCAAGCGCGGGAGAGTGCACCCGCAACCCTGCCTTCATGGGCACCACGTGCGCTCGCTCGTGCGCCATGCGCGCAATGTCCGAGCCCAAGCCGGCGCGCGAGGAGGACGCCCAGGCGAGACCCGGCCCAGGGAAGGGGGTTCCTCAGCCGGCGGACCCACCCGCGTCGTTGCGGCCGCTGGAGGACCGAGACGCGCGCTGCACCACCTGGGCGGCCGGCGGCGAGTGTGATCGCAACCAGGCCTACATGTCGTCACACTGCGCAAATTCGTGCGCGCAGATGCAGCAGCCGGCGCCCACAGACAGCGAGCCGCAATGCGCACGGTGGTCGTCCATGGGTGAATGCGAGCGGAACCCGAATTTTATGGCTCTGCGGTGCGCACGCGCGTGCAGTAACAGGTGAATCGGCGCCCGTCTTCGTGCAACCCAATATGTCTCCCTTCGTAGGCCCTTCCCCGCTCTCAATCTCTGAAAATCGATTCTTTTTGAGTGCATATCACGTACGCGTCTGGCAGTCCTAGAGTGCAGAGACCCAGACTGGTCTGCTGACCCGGTGGAGGTGCGTGCGTGCGTGCGTCTGCGTGCGGACGCGGCTTTACCTTTAGCTCGCTCTCACATGGTATGTACGTTGTGCGGCACCCCCGCTTCTCTCATCTTCTCTCAGAGAGCGGTGTCTCACTTGATCGTGAGAGCAGCGGTGGACAGATGTGGCGGTCGCCGCGTCTGGCGAGTCAAGCGACGGAGCCGCCGCGGGCGGCGACGCTGGCGAGCCCCATCGGGAGGATGTGCATCATCTGGGGCACGTACAGCGTGGCGCCAACGAGGGTCGACGCCCACGGCGGGACGGGAGGCGCCTTGGTGAGCAGCGCGTTGAGCACGCCAATCACGAGGAAGAGGGGCCCGTAGTACGCGAACACGAGCACCTATCGCTGCCACCGCACTCGTCGAACAGAATGGGCCGGGGCCGCGGTGCTCCGCAGGGGCGGCCGCAGCGCCTCGAGGGCGGTGAGGCTCATGAGGTCGAGCGAGAGCAGCTTGCTGCGGGTCGAGTTGATCGAGTTGCCTAAAGACGGTCGTGAGAGGGATCGGCGAAGCTTCAGCGCGAAGGCTTCGGCGCCAGTTGTTCGGCTGCCCGTCGTCTTGCCCCAGAGGAGCGCCCAGCAGAGGGAGCGCACAGAGGACGCCTTCCGGTCTCCCAGCTCCTTCGAGAGCGACTCGAAGGCGGCGCGCTCGTCCGCTCCTCGGCCCGCCTCGTGCGCAAAGGTGGTGGCGTACTTGACGGCGGGCGCCTGCGCATCAGGCTCCGCGCCCGCCATGCGAGCGAGCTGCCCGTGGAGCCCCGTGCAGTACGGGCAAGTGTTGACGGAGTTGACGGTGAGCATCACCGATTCGAGCGTGATTGGGTCCAGGCTGCGCCCCGGCCAGAGGTAGGCGGCGAGGTAGCCGGGCAGCTCGACCATGAAACGGGTGTGGTCGCGGAGGAAAGTTGCCCAGCTGGTCCAGACCTTGCCGGTTTTGGTCTCGTCAGTCGTCATTTTGTGCCTGGGGAGCTCAGGCTCAGCGTGTGAGCACTTTTGGTCGGGAACTCGCCTGTCGGCTCGCAGTCACTCTTTCTCGCCCCTCCACCAATATTGGGTAATCCCTGTGTGGTGGCGGCGTGCCGTCCTCCCATCCCTCCCTTGGGTTGTCTGTTTTCTTTCTTTCTTTCTGCGAGCAGCACTGCGCCGGCCGGCGAGCGACTCTCGACTATAGTTCGGGCTCTATTGAACGGCCTCAAGGTGCTCTCTAGAGCTCCGTGGTGCGTGTGCTCAGAACTCGCCTACTGTGTCGGCTCAATGTCACTTATTTGATGCGAATCGGCGTTGCTGTGGCTAGACCTCGTGCGGGACGTCGTGCGGCGGCTCGTTAACCTGAATGTCGCGCTCCAAGGAGGACGTTCTTCGCCTTTCACGCCCCTTTCAAACGCCTTTCTATCTATCTTTGTGAGTGCAGATTATTTTATACAAGCCCGCGATTCGGAGAGCTAGAGTCTGCGATGCGCCGCGCCCGCGCGCGTCGCCGCGTGTCTTGGGGGCTCCCCCGCCCATCTCTCTGTACCGGCCGCGTCGCCAGGCACCGCCGATGTCTCGGCAAGGCGCGGGACGAGGCTCTGCCAGAGCCCCCCCCCCCCCCCCCCCGGACGGTGCAGGTAGGCCGGCCTCCAGATCACAGCCCCTCCTCGTCGAGGGCGAGTGCCTCCGCCAACGCCTGGGCGCGCTGCGCCGCCGCCGCCTGGGCCGACTCGTCGAGGGCGCTCAGCGCATCCGCCCCGTCGTCGCCGTCCTCCACCCCGCCGTCTTCCGCCCCGTAGTCCTGGGTCTCGCCCTCCTGCACGCCTTCCCCGAGGTAGTCTTGCGTGGCGGACCTACGGAGAGGCTCCGAGCAGGTCGAGCAGAGGGCGAGAGGCGAGGCGAGTGTCGCGTGCCGGGCTCGCGCCCGTCGCGACACGCCTCGGCGCTCGAAGGGCCGCTCTGCGCCTCGCTCTGCGCCTCGCTCTGCGCCGCGTACCGCACAGTCGCCTCCTCGCCCGCCTCACCCCCCCCCGCCCGCCCCGCCGCAGGCCCCGCCGCAGGCGGCCTCGTCGCCTCCACGTCGTCGAAGTCGTCGATGCCGAGCTCCGCCGCCATCGCATCGTCGTCAAAGTCGTCCTCCGCGTCGGGAAAGTCGTCCGCGTCCGGAAACTCCTCCTCCTCCATCGCCGCTCCCCGCCCGCCGCCGCCGCAGCCCGCCGCCGCCCCGCCGCCGGCCGCGGCTCGGGCAGACTCAGCTCCGCCGCCGCCGGCTCCGCCCCGGGCAGCATCGGCGCGGCGGGCGGCGGCCCGCTCGAGCGCGGCGCGCCGGTTCGCCTCGGCGCGGGCCGCCTGCTCCCCCGTGAGCGCCGCCGCGCCGGACGGAGCCGCCGGCGGCGCCCGCAGAGCGGTTCCGTCGGCGGTGCGCCAGTCGTCGTCGTCGTCGTCGCCGCCGCCGTGCGCGACGTCGTCGTCGACGGGCAAGCCGTACTCGTCCACCCGCACCGCGCGGCCGCTCGAGTCGACCCCCTCCGCCTCCTCCTCCATCGCCAGGTCGTCGAGCGACGCCACGCCCTGCTGCACGTCGCGCAAAAACGCGAGCCGGTGCAGCACGGGCCGCTGAGACACCTTGTCGAGCTTCTCGACGAACTGGCCGAACTCGACGTCGGGCAGCAGGGCGTGCGCCCACTCGGCGTACTTTGCGAGCACCCGCCGCAGCTCCGCCGGCGCGTGCTTGGAGCCGCTCTTGACCTTGAGCGCGCTAAACTCGCGGTAGACGGCGACGATGCCTCGCCTCGGGTCGAGCAGCATCTCGGGCGTCAGCTTGGTGACCGGCTTCCGCCGCGTGCTGACCTTGCGCTTCTTCTGGGCGGGCGCGTCGGGGTCCACCGCCGCCCCATCCGCTGGCGCCGCCGCTGCAACCGCCGCGTCGTGGCACTCCACGCACGTCGTCTTGCGGCCGGGCTCGCCGCTGCGCTGGAACCAGGCGGGGGCGCCCACATCTATCGTCTTGGAGCAGCTGCGGCACTTGGCCGCGAACTTGGACGACGCGACGAGGACGCCGTCGTCGGCGGGCTTGGCGGCGTCGCCTCCGACACCACTGCGAGGCAACGAGGCAACGGGGAGGGCGGGACGCTCGGGGGGAGAGTACGTGAAGCGGGCCGCGCGTGGGCGGCATGCACCCTGGCGCTTGGTCGTTGAGGACATCGTCCCAGTTGTCCATGGCTGACGATACTCCCGCTGCACTGGTGGTGGCAACGGAACTGGTGGTGGCCGCAACGAGACGTACCGATGGCGGTTTGTCACTTCGCGCGGGGCGGTGAAAAGAATTTTTTGCGGCCATGTCTAAAACAGCCTCGATCACACCTCTTGGCGCCGAGTCTTCCTGCGGGCTGAAGGCTCACACGCGGGCCCACCACGAAAGCCACACGCACACCCACCACCACACTCTCACACACGTCAATTTAGAGTTGCCTCTGTGATGCTGATGGAGAGCAGGGGGCGCTTCGGAGGGAGAGACGAATCGCCGTACATGCAGCATGCGCGGAGGAAGGGGCGCTGTTGGGCGCTCTCCTTAAGCTCGCGGGGGGCCGCGAGCCGGCGCGCTTGCGAGAGAGGGGCGGGCACGAGACAGCAGTGCGGGCGCGGGGCCCGCCCCGCTCTGCGGCGCGGGCTCACGGATTGTGTTCCTCGTCGGCGTAGTCGGGCTTGCCGTCGCCGTCCGAGTCGCCCGCGTTGTTCTGGAAGCAGTACAGCCACCACTCCTGCAGGGAGAGGGCTCGGGTTCGGGCCAGGTTATGCTGCCGCTCCTGCGGCGACCGACGGCGGGCGGCAGTGGCAGGAGGCGGCTCGGCCTCGCGATTGCGGGCTTTGGGGCTCCGGCGTGGGGGAGGGTCGGGGCGTGCCTTGTTGATCTGGAGGAAGGTCCAGACGGGGTGCGTGAAGCTGAGCACGGGGATGGCCGGGTACGCGTACCACGGGAAGTTGCCGTGCTCGACCCAGAGGTTTGTCTGGTAGGTGGCCTCGTTCCCGCCAATCAGGACCTGGGTGGGGAGAGGGAGTGGAAGGTTGGGAGGCGCGCGCGGTCCTCGGGAGCCGCTGCGGCGACGCTCGTCGAGGAGCGGCGACCCACGGCGGCGAGGCCGACACTCTTCCCGATCACGGCGGGGAGTCACGTGGGAAGCCGGCACGTGGTGGCAAGGCTTCTGATACGCGGGTGAGCTTCACCGTCTCAGTGATCTTGCAGCCCAGTGCCGGGCAGCAGAACCCGCCGTCGGGGCACGTGACACACCCCTGCTTGCGCCACTCCTCCTCGAGAGGGCCCTTGGCGTTCTCCGCCGGGGCGAAGCCGAGGAAGCCGTCGTCGACCGTCCCTCCCTTCTCCGGTGGTGGCGTCAACATCCGAGCACGGTGCTCTGCCGCGGCCGCCTTTGCCTCGTTGACGAGCGCCGAGCCGCGGAAGCCCATTGCGGTGGTGCCGAACAGAGCGACAGCCGCTGCCGCGATAAGCGGTCGGCGCCAGGTCGCGCCGGAGGAGGTGGAGGTGGAGATCATCAAGAAGGACCTGTTTAGGCGCGTGAGAAGCCGTAACGCGGAAAAGAATTTGCGGGACAGGGGCTTGAGAGAAGATTAAATGACGTTCGCTCCGCGAGGGTGCGACTGAGCCTGCCGCGCTCGATCTGGGAGCCACTCGGCGCCAGGTCGAGCGGCGGTCGGCTCGGCCACTGCGGGTGCGACGCATGATAGAGCCTGCTGGGCGCTGCGTCATGTACTTACCGCTCCACGCCAAGGCGCGGGGCGGCGGTGCTCGCCGGCGCTCGCGGCGCTTCGGTGCTCGGGCGCGCTCGCCATTGTGGTCGTTCAGGGCGGGTCGCACAGCACACGCACACGCACACGCACACACACACACACACACACACACACACACACACACACACACACACACACACACACACATGCATGCACACACACACACACATGCATGCACAGACACACAGCCCATTCCCCTTCCCCCGCAAGACATCAAGGACGAGGACACGACACAGGACGCACCTCTAGTGAGGCCCGCATAGTAATGTGGGTGACTCCTGCCGCCGCCCCCTGCCACCCCTGTGTCAGTGTGCCTGTGGTAGTGAGAGACTGCCAGCGAGAGAAGCTGGAGGCAGGTCGCTAGACTGAGATGAGACCGCCAGTGGAGTTGGGATTCCACCGTGCACCGCGCTGCGAGCCTGTCGTGTCCCTTGTCAGGAGCAGGAGAGCCCCACCTGTGCCCCTGATCGTCCTTCCAAAATCCTGCTCGTGCAGGTGGGGACCCTGTCCTCCTCCCCCATCCCTCGTCTGGGCTTGTCTGTTTTCTTTCTTTAAGATTAAATGATCCCAAGGGCGGTCTGCAAACATGGAGCGTGCTGCGCACGCGGTCTGCTCCGGACTGGCTATCGTGGAAAAGAAAGAAAGAAAGAAACCAGACAAACCCAAACGAGGGATAGGGGAGGAGGACAGGGTCCACACCTGCACGAGCAGGATTTTGGAAGGACGATGAGGGGGACAGGTGGGCTCTCCTGCTCCTGACAAGGGACACGACAGGCTCGCAGCGCGGTGCACGGTGGAATCCCAACTCCACCGGCGGTCTCATCTCAGTCTATGCCACTGTATGGTCTAACCGCCCGCCGCGCTAACTGACTCCTCATCACCTCCCTACGAACATACATATGTAGGAAGGCGAAGAACAGTCAGGCTCGGACTGGACACCAACGCGGTATGGGTGGACGCTGGACAGATGATGACGACACGCACGAGCGACACACAGACACAAACAAGCTCACAAGACACACAGCCAGCTGGCTGCCACACACCCTTGAGTTGTCGTACACATAACTCAGGTCCACATTCTTCCTGTCGCCCCCACCAGCACTCCAAGGTGCCAAGAGAACAAACAAGGGCACAACATCACAACAGACAACAGGAAGTAACATGTGAGACTAGAGCAGGCTTGCTCCGCCTCTAGCAATCTCGCCGGCCGGCGAGGCACGGACGAGACCGTGTGTGGGGTCTAGTGAGGTGTCTATGGACGTTCTCCTCACAGGCTAGCTGCCTACTGCTAGCCCTATCTCGCACTCACGGGCAGTGACAATTCAATGGGTGAGAGTGTTTGCGAGCAGAGGCGCGTGGGCTAAATCTAGCCGCACGTCGTGGCACTATGACGAACTTAGACGTGCGGCCGCAGCGGCCGCGCCCGCCGCAGGCTCGGCGGTGCGCGCGTGTTAGCGAGAAAGTTGCGGGTAGAGCCATGCCCGACTTTTCGAAGGTGAGGCCTCTGCGACGAGTGCCAGCCGCGCTGCGGAGCCACACCCTTCGAGCCGCGTCCCGTCGGCACTGCCCCTGAGAGCTGAGTGTGTCTCGCCTTGGCGACACACACTCTATCTTGTCTTCGGCGAGGACAGTCCGGCCTACGGGAACGTGTCGCGCGCCGGCGACGGTTGCGGCGTGGTGGTTTCGAGTACGAAGCGAAGATGGCACGACCACCGCCCTGCATCGCAGACCGGGCAAGGGGGGGCCTGCTCCCGTTCCGCGAGGAACAGGAGGTCTCCCCCCCTCCCCCGGCCTGAGCAGCTACGCCTACGGGTGGAAGGCAGCCCCTTGAGTCGAGGGCGGCGCGACCATTGCTGCTCTCCAATGACCAGAGGCCCAGTAACTGCAGATGGTCGCGCCGCCCCGCTCCGCGCCGCCCGCCGCCGCGCCGCGCCGCCGCCCGATGATTATTAATTAATAATTAATTAATCAATAAGTAATTACCCCGCCCCGCCCCGCCCTGCGTCGCCCGCTCCCTTACCACACTGCACGCCTCACACGTCACACTACCACTCCACACTCACTCGCGCTAGCCCCGGGGGTGCGCGGTCGCAGGGCCATAACACGTCTCCGAGGGATAGTTCCGTGTACCGGGTTACCCCTTAACTGCAGAACGCACCCTCTTCCTCGACCGTGGGGGGGTGCGCAGTCGCAGGGCCATAGCACGGGTCTCCGAGGGTTGGTTCTGCGCTCCGGGGTTCCCCCAGCGGCGGAATTTTCCCCTCGCGCTGTGGGTCCCCCTAGCTGCGGAACGCCCCCTCTACTCGGAGCTATAATACGAGAATACTCTCCGAGGGTTGGCCCGTGTACCAGGTTTCCCCTTAACTGCAAGGATCACAGATCACGCCCCCTCTACTCGGAGCTAGGGATACGAGAATACGCACTTGCAGGCTGATTTGTTTCTTGGAGCGCGTCAGCACTCCAGTACCAGCGCCACGGGCACATCGATGCCGTCTTCCTCCACCTCCGTGGCGCCGCCTCCTCGCCGAGAGGACATCCGCAAAGAGGGGTGGGCGTGGAAGGAGTCGCTCTTCCTGCGGCAGTACCGCAAGCGCTGGCTCGTGCTCACGTGCCCGCCGCACCCTCAGCCGTCGCGGCTGCTCACATTCTCAAAAAAGCAGGACTACTCGGCGCGGCCGACAGAGGCGCGCATAGGCCGAGGGGAGGGCAGCACGCGCGCCTCTCTCCCGCGCCTCTCACGCGCCACCCGCCGCCGCGCCTCCAGGACATCGACCTGCGGCAGTGTGGCACCGTCAAGTCGGCCGACGACCTGACAAACAAGCCCTTCTCCTTCACCGTGCAGGTGGAGTTAGCCACGCCTGCCCGCGCAGAATGGCTCCGCGGCCGCAGCCGGAGCGCCTCCGCCGCGCGAGCCAAATTGCCCGCCCGCGGCGACGGCGGCGAGCGCTCCTGAGCGCTCCTCCCCTCGCCTGCTCCGCTGCCCACCTGCAGGTTCCGGACCGCAACTTTTTCCTGGCGGTGGACAATGATGCGGACCGAAATGAGTGGGTCGCCGCGATCGGCCGCGCCACCACCGAGAACCGCCGAGTGCGCAGCTACTCGGAGGAGGTCGAGTACCAGGAGCAGCAGGCGAGGGCCGCACCTCTGGACAGTCCGGACCTGATTACACAATAACATAATAATCTAGTATAATCACTCCCGACCTGCACTCGGACGACTGCGAGACGACTGCAGAGAGACCTGCGGGACACCTGCGGGATACTTGAGACACAGCAGCCAGCCACACCTCCTACACAGCGGCGAAGCGCCGCCTGTTGCACGGAACATGTCCTGGAAGCTTCCTAGAAGCGTCACGCACGCAGCTAGCCGCTCTCCCCGACCCCTGCCCCCGCTCCCCTCCCCAGGCGCGGTTAGCGGCGGCGCGGGCGGCGGGCGACTGAGCATTACCTCGGAGGCGTGCTCTGCCGCCGCCCTCTCTCTTGCTGCCGACTCTCCGTATACTCAGGGCGGCGCCTGCTCTGTCGGCGCGTGCGCTTAGCGTGGGAGGCAGGGCGGGCTTGTCGCTTGTGCCGGCGGCCTGCAACACCGCGCGCCAGCGCGTCTCTGGCGGCAGCGAGAGGCGCGCGCCCGAGAGGAGGGGCGGAGGCATGTGTGGTAGCCAGAGTTGAGTCGAGATTGCGAGTGCTGTGCGGCGGGGCGCGCGGGGTTGTCGGCTGTGGCGAGTCAGTGCCGGCTGCGCGGGGCCGGGTGGGGGGCGGGGAAGGGGGGAGCGCGGGTGTCTGTGAATTTGTGGGTCTGACGCCGTCTCGGCGTCTTGTCATCATATATGAATTATCACATCATGTGAATTAGGCCGACGTTTTTTTATCTCTGGGTCAGTGGGGGGCCGAGCCACCTCGGGGTGGCGGGCGGGCGGGCGTTTTGAAAAACAGAAAACAGAAAACAGAGGGGGGCCAGGGCCCCCACTACGATTAGACACAAGCACCCGGCACCTGGGACAAAGCGAGCAGCAGCAGCAAGCAGTTCAACGGAGAAGGGGGGGGGGAGGAGCCGTTGCGCAGCCAATGAATCGCATTTTGTAGCTTCCCGGGGTTTGCAGTGTATCCTCGCGCGTCGCCAGTACTTTTAATGTTCCAACCAAACATTCGCAGAATGCCGACTGTCGTCTCGCCCAGATCCTCGTTGTCGAGGACGGTGCCGGTGCCCGAAAACTCCGTCGTCCGAAAGCACTTGACAGTGCTGGCCGTGAGCTTGCCAGCAGCAATCTCCGGCTCGGCTCTCTCGAGTGCGTCGCTGACGACAAGGGAGAGAGCCACCTCCGCCTCGTGCATGCGGCCCGATTGGTGATGCTTCTTGCCAAGCTCGACGCGAACGACGACGGGCACCTTCGGCGCCATGCCGGAAGGGGCACGCGCCTCTGAAGGTCGAGGCGCGTGGTCAAAGCCGGCGCTGCGCGGGTGCGTGACCATCGCCGCTTTTGCTCGCCCAATTACATGTTTTTTGGATGCAGACGACCGTTTGGGGTCACTCACACCCGCACGAGGTAGGCGGCGCGCAGCGCCGCTCTCGCAGGCTGTTTTTGACTGTTTCTGCATTTTGTTTTTGTTTTCAGTCTAGGGGGCCCGACCCCCTCAGAGGCGGCGGGCGGGCGCCCACTGACCCAGAGATCAAAAACGCTCGGCCTTATGCGTGTCGTGGGCCGGTTGCGGGGCGCGCCGCGGTGTGGAGGTCTCTGGGCCGGCGCGGGGGCCCCAGAGGGTG